ACCCTCAGGCTTTTCACTGGTCCACCATGCTCCCAGCTCCGCAGAAGAGGCCTAAACCAGGACTGAAAAATACCAACCCACCCAGGCGGTTCCTCTGCCAGCATGCTACCAAAATTATGTTTCAAAAACATCACAGAAAAAAAAAAACACCGGGTTGACCATACCTTGGCCACCCATCCACCTAGAAAGGAAGGTTACAGACCTTTTAATTGGGTTAAGTTTGTTCCCCCATAACAGCTAGAAGAAACAACTGTAGATGCTCACATAGAGAGACACTGGAAAAACACAGAAGGAGCTGATATACAGAAATACTGGGATCAGGTAAGTTTTAATCAAGTCAATCCTTTCCCTGTAAAAGAGTTTCCAATCCTTCCAGCTAGCAACCTTGGCATCGGCATCTTGTAGCCTGCTTACCCAATTTGTAAGGTCGGAATCACCAGGACCAAATCTGATGCCTAAAATCCGTCTGGCCCAGGAAACTTCTTAATGACAAGCTTATCAATAGCTTTAACCACCTCATCTGCCGTGATATCCTCTGTCAAACTCACAGAACTGCCATTTCCCAGTCCTGGAGTAGAGTCCATAAAACCCAACATGCTCGCCCAATCGAAGTACTTCCTACCCAGGAGGTCAGCATACCTGGAGTATTTCCAGAGAAGGTCAGACATAATATGACCTGGAGGTTTCCAGGATCCCCAACTTGGACTTTTTCAGGGAACCCGTACTGTCAACCAGGCCTATAACTGACTTAACTGCTCTACCTTGTTTGCAATTCTGGTAAGGGTCGGGTGAGCGATATTTTTCCATAATCCCTTTCCAGAACCAAAGAGGCATGCCTGTCATATTGACACTGCCTGAGCAAGAGTTTAACCTCAGAGATCGCCCCTGGATCTCCATTATTTGAGACAAGCCTATCAAGCTTCCTCCGCAGACGCTGGTAGGTGACATACTTCTCAAGCTGTTTATTTCTTCCTATGGCCTTGAAAAGCCCAACGATCCTTCGTTTTGAAAGCTCTCACCACTCTGACTTACTGCTGCAAAAGTCCATGATTGATACCTGTGCCTCCTCCATGTCCAAACAAAAAAAAACTCTTCCACCAAAGCTGATTGGTTATGCATGGCCTCAGGGCACCAGTTGCACGAATGGCCAACCTTATCACAAAGATTGCACCTAATGATATTACAATCCTTAGCCAGATGCCCCAGATTCTGACACAGAAAGCACTTCATCTCTGGACATGAGGAGGCAAAATGACCCCGAGAACCGTACTTATTGCAGAGCTTGGGCTGTCCAGGGTAGACACACAACAATCCTATCCTTCCCAATGAAGGCTGAGGAGGGCAGATGCTGTACCACATTCCTGCACACATACATCCTCATCTGCTCCGACCACCCACCAATGAATATCCCCCCTCTCATCCACAATCTTCTTCAGAGGGGTCAGTAGCTCCCCAAAGCTCCTCAGCCAGACAGCAAAGTCAGCAGAAGGGATTGACTCATTCCTTACTAGAATGGTGACAATCTTAACTAGAGGTTGGTGTGAGACAAGCCTTGGGATGAGTCCCTTCCACTCTGGCAGACCCCAATACACATGCTCATGCTTCTCCCAGAAAATATCAAGAGACTCGGGGCGCACAAAGGACAGGTCATACTCATAGGAGCCCACTGGGCTGATCAAAGCAAAGATGTCATCAGCCTTAAAACCCATCACCAAAATCCTGTCCACCACCAACTTCCTGACAGGGGGAGCACCCCCACCTTCCCATCTGAGCTGCACCACATTCTGTAGCCTGGAGGATAGGGGTGCAGATGGCAGACCTCCCCCCAGAGCTTACAGCCTGATGTGACCCCCTCCTCCCAGCCAGAGCCCTAGCATAGGTTTTATTTGCAGCATGAGACATACCAGACCTTAAAGCTGCACCCTGCACATTGGTTGCAGGAGCCTCGGAACCCCCGCTCTGCAAACTACCATCAGAGGCTGCAGCAGTCAATCCATCCACTAGCACACAGGCATTCCCCGTTCCAGCATTGCAAGCACTTTTATCATTCACATTTTTCCTTTCACTTGTGGCACTACTGCTCCCAGCAGACCCACTCACACCAGATGGTCCTATCTCCCCATCCCAGAACGTACTCCTCTTAGGCAAAAGCCTTCCACTCCTGGTCACTCTCTCCTGGGTTTCAGCAACACCTTTCCCAGTGCAGCTGACATTTTCCCTCCCACCATTTTGTGCTGCATTTGCAGCCATCAGCAGGGATTGTCCAGACAAAATTTCAGTTTCCACTTTTACCTTCCCCCCAGCAGAGTCCATAGTCACAGGTTTCTTGATAGCAGATTCAACAGTCACTGAATTCCCAGTCTCAGCAGAGTGCAGTCCTGCAGGCACAGTAGCCATCTTCCCTGCAGAGCTCTGTGCACACACAGGAGGATTTCCCTCCAAAACTCTGCAGTGCACATGGTTGTCCATACTGGAGTCCAAACTGTCACTTTTACAGGACCAGGTACAGAGTCCTCACCATCATCCTCATCTGCAGAGTCCTCAGAAAACCAGAAGGTTCTTCCACATGGGGGAGACTCCATCTCTGTAATAAAGTTCAGCAGCCCTCCACCATTTTCCTCTACCTCCTGTGCTGTTCCTCCAGCTTGCTGGGGAGGGAGGGAGGCAGAGGCTGACCTTTCCTCTGGTGAAGCATATCCTAAGGAGGAGAGGATAAAAGGGGCAGCATACAGGACCCCCTCCTCGCTCTCCACCCATACTGCTACCGCTGATGCTGGATTTTACTGGTGTCTCCCTTCATTTTCTGGAACCTTTCCTCATTCTGAAACTTCTCCTTGAATGCTCCGCTCTTTTCCTTCAATGTTTTCACCAAATTATGTTGCTGCTTGATGGCGTCCTCCTAACCTTTCAGCTCCGGCTTCAGACTCTGCCGCTTGCTGCTCCATACCTTATTGTGTAAAACTTTCTTTTTCTTGTACTCTGCTTTCAGGTTCATCAGCTTTTCCTCCTCCTTTGCAATTCTCAGCAAATAGTCAGCAACCTGCTATCTGAAGACAGGGAGGGATTCCCCTCCTTTAGGGCCACAGCCAAGGTCTTCTGGTGTAGGTGAAGCTTGGGAGCGCAAGCTGGGTCCCTCAGGGGGAACATGGCCTGAGCCTATCCCTAAAGAAACCATGTTTCTGGGGCCAGGCAAGTAGGCCTTCCCCCTAGTGTCTGGAGAGGGAGAGCAACTACACAAGCTACCTCTCTGGTGCAGAGACTGATGTGACTGTGGGGAGGGGACATTAGAGTGTAAGCTCCTCTGGTACAGAGACTGATGTGACTGTGGGGGAGGGGACATTAGAGTCTAAGCTCCTCTGGTACAGAGACTGATGTGACTGGCTCAGTGATCTCTGTACAGCACTGCGGTATATGTCAGAGCTATATAAATATATAATAATAATAGTGTGTGAATGTGGGGGAGGGGATATTAGAGTGTAAGCTCCTCTGGTACAGAAACTTACGTCAGTGGTTCAGTGTTCTCTGTACAGCCCCGGGGTATATGTCAGAGCTATATACGTAAATGTATCATAATATTAGTATGTGACTGTCGGTGGAACTTTGGGGTGTAACCTCCTCTGGTACAGAGACTGACGTCAGTGGCTCAGTGTTCTCTGTACAGCCCTGCGGTATATGTCAGAGCTATATAAATGTATAATAATAATAGTGTGTGGGGGGGGACATTAGAGTGTAAGTTCCTCTGGTGCAGAGACTGATGTGACTGTTGGGGAGGGGGACATTAGAGTGTAAGCTCCTCTGGTACAGAGACTGATGGGACTGTGGGGGAGGGGACATTACAGTGTAAGCTCCTCTAGTACAGAGACTGATGTGACTGTGGGGGAGGGGACATTACAGTGTAAGCTCCTCTGGTACAGAGACTGCTGTGACTGGCTCAGTGTTCTCTGTACAGCGCTGTGGTATATGTCAGAGCTATATAAATGTATAATAATAATAGTGTGTGACTGTGGGGGGGGGGGGCATTAGAGTGTAAGCTCCTCTGGTACAGAGACTGATGTGACTGTTGGGGAGGGGACATTAGAGTGTAAGCTCCTCTGGTACAGAGACTGATGGGACTGACTCAGTTATCTCTGTACACAGCTGCGGTATATGTCAGAGCTATATAAATATATATTAATAATAGTATGTGACTGTGGGGGAGGGGACATTAGAGTGTAAGCTCCTCTGGTACAGAGACTGATGTGACTGTGGGGGAGGGGACATTAGAGTGTAAGCTCCTCTGGTACAGAGACTGATGTGACTGGCTCAGTGTTCTCTGTACAGCACTGCGGTATATGTCAGAGCTAAATAAATGTATAATAATAGTGTGTGACTGTGGGGGAGGGGACATTAGAGTGTAAGCTCCTCTGGTACAGAGATTGATGTGACTGTGGAGGAGGGGACATTACAGTGTAAGCTCCTCTGGTACAGAGACTGATGTGACTGGCTCAGTGATCTCTGTACAGCGCTGTGGTATATGTCAGAGCTATATAAATGTATAATAACAAAGGCTTTCTGACTCTGGGGGTCATTGTTATAGAATGATCTTACTGTGTGAAATGACCATGATTCTGGGAACTGATTATGAAGCACAGACTTGTATTAGGCTCTGATCACTATCTGCCCATTGTATGCACTGAGATGTATAAGAAATTCTTCAAGCTGCAGCTTGGCTATGGTAGAATATGAAAAGGATCCAACGTTCACATAACAAAATGTTTATGTTCTTTTTTTTTTCCAGTGAAGCAAATGAGCCAAAAATTTTGATTTTCAATTTTTTTATAATTTGGTACAAAATATTAACACTGAGCTAACATTTAAAATTCACTAACTACATTTTATTTGCTTTTAATGAATTGATGTAAATGATCCTTTACAGCCTAGTGACCAGTGTCTTCTCCAGTACAATGTCTTCCTGAATCCTCACATTACCGCTCCCTCTCCTAGTGAATTATTTGGTTCTGATGGGAAATCAAACTTCTCAGTCTGAATTCATTTTGCTTGGCCTGTCAGACCTCACATATTCTCAGGTCTCAGTATTTCTGCTGATCCTCCTCATCTATGTAGCCACATTGGTTGGGAATCTTCTCATCATTTTCCTGGTGGTCTCAGACTACCACCTCCACACCCCCATGTACTTTTCTCTGGGAAACCTATCAGCTTTAGACATCTTCAACTCCTCCATTTCCACATCTCATGTGTTTTTTGATGTAATTACTGAAAACAGGCTGATTTCATACCCAACTTGTATCACCCAGGTCTTCCTCTTCATTTGGTTTGGCAGCACTGAGTTCTTTATACTTGATATTATGTCCTACGATCGCTATGTTGCCATCTGTCATCCTTTGCATTATACAACCATGATAAGCATTCACTTGTGTGTTCAGCTAGCGTTCTTTTCCTGGCTCTTCAGATTTATATGTTGCTTGGCACACACGTTTTTGGCACTAAGACTGGCCTTCCCTGACCCCACCACTATCCCAGGCTTATTCTGTGAGCTATATCAGCTTCTTCAACTTTCATCTTCTGACACATTCCTCAATTATTTACTTTTATATTTTGATGCTGTAAGTTTTGGAGTCCCTGGGTTTTTCATTACTTTCCTCTCCTATGTCTACATTTTCAAAACTATCCTGAAAATGAAATTGAAGGATGGAAGACGGAAAGCTTACTCCACCTGCAGTTCTCACCTCACCGTGGTCTTCATCTTTTTTGGGACGAGTATTTTCAACTACTATCAACCCAAAAGTGAGAATTCTCTGGCAGGCAGATTGATCTCTTTATTTTATGCAGTGTTCACCCCTCTCCTAAACCCGCTTATATACAGCCTGAGAAACAGAGACCTAAAAGGAGCTCTTCAGAAAATTCTACCCAGAAAAGGCACCATGTCCTGAACTGTGCAACAATCATTTTATTCTCAGCACTGGTTGTATTTTGAACTTGTTTGTCAGGTTTTCATTTTAGATGAAGTGAGATTTGTAATTCTAATAAATGCTGGCTTACATGGTCTCAGGTAGATATTTAAGCTCACTAAAGGTTTCATGTTTAATGCTAACTGCATAACCATGTGTCATAAAACAGGTTCTCTTGGAGTGCTTCAAAATGATGTGTAAATGATTTAGATATGACTATCTAGTATATGGCCCTTCTGTTTATGTCTGGAGGTGCCATCCTTGTTTTGAAAAACTGTCCTGATAAAATGACAAACTTTTTTCCAATGGGTTATCAATTTGCACTATTAATGTCCTGCTTTACTGTCATTGTGGGGTATAAATATTGTGTATTCTGCACAATCCATGTTCACAGGAATGCTCACAAATGTGCCAGTTGGGGATAGGCTGCTGGTTAACCTTTTTTTTTGTTGGGCTTCAATTTATTTTGCCAAGCTAGTAACAAGACGCCAGGTTAGGAATGGCTTAGGGCATACTTTTCATTTTGTTCCAGAGAAACCTGCCTGCTCAATGCTAAAGCCAGAGATGACATGATGACTACAAATGCATGTCATCACTC